GAGATAAAAACCCCCCCCCCCCCCCCCCCCCCACGCCACAACAGCAACAACTCACGATCGTCATGGCCTCCGTGGTGGAAAAGGTCATCGTGTCGTCCGACGACACCTCTACCTTTACCACCGTCGTCTGAGCAACGTAGTCCTGATCGTACCCCCCGAAGAGGTAGATGGTCCCGTCGTCGCTTGCCACCCCGGAGTGGTCGGAAAAGCAGTCGGTCGCCTGGCTAACGTCCAGCTGCGTCCACTCCCCCGTCAATACGCTGTACCGGTCGACGTTGCAAGTCTTGATAGGGGACGAAAATGGGAGGAGGGGGCAATCAACTACTGCTTTGTCCACCAGGGTAGCCAAGAAGGAGGCGTTGAGTATGCATTTTATATGTGGGGAAGGCCGAACTAATGCTTAGTGCGATGCCGCACTGTGTAGAGAAAGGCCACGGCAGGTGCAGCTTGCCATTCTACATTATATTCAACCATCTCGCCACCATGAGGTGTATGCGCGACAATCGAACGATCGATCAGGGATCAGGCTCTTCCCAGACACCATGGTTGAAGTTGAGCGAGGCACAACGGTTGGAATCGGAACACCAACACACGCCATCGTCTTTCCATCTCCCTTGACAAACAATAAACAAACGCGTGCTACTGTAGCATGTTTCGCGTCGCATCGTGTTTCTGTCGCCACAATATCTGGGAAGAAGAGGGTCTAACAAACACATCAATACCGACTTCTACTTTCGCGTTGGGACCTAACCTCAAACGAACAACACGAGAAGATTGTTCACTAAGATGTTGTGTGCGGATAGCATCGAATACGACACAAGATAACATACCCCCTGGAGCGATTTTCAAAGCTCCATTAGATTACTCCACGACCAAGAGGATGCATGAACGAAACGATATATTTTCGGAGAGCTCTCGACCAGAAGCGTTGAACACCGCCGTTTCCGGCGCTGTGACACTCTCTCTGCTGTTGAGAAACCGAGCTCGGAAAAACAGACCGGGGTGTGTGTTATATTGTGTCATATACGGTAGGTGTGTCTGCTCTCGGTGTGCAATGGGGTCACGGATGTCCCTGTCCATGCAACCGCCACATTATACGTAAATGTCGCCATGCAGCATGTAGATGCGGTACTCCGACTGAATACAGCTAGGGCCTACACTTAGCTAATGAAGATATTGATCCTCGAGCATCCAAAATTCTAAGAACTTGAGCACCATTCGTGAGCTCGGCTAAAAACCCCCGCACGAAAACATAAACTCTATAGCGGCCATTCGTCGCATTTCTCATAACCATAGGAACTAAAAAACTATCCTCGGTCAAACCTTGAGTTGAGGTTCTTGAGTGCGGACGCTAACGGTATGCACGAGTGTGCAGAATCGATCTTTGTGTGTCTCCATCTCTGGGCGGACTAAACAGCAGCCAGGTCAGGCGTGCCCTATTGTACCCATCGCAAGCACCGCGGCATGGCATGGGTAACCCACGTCAAGGAACATGGGTGCCGCAACATCCTACCATCCCCAAGCATTGCCTGGAGTACCTATGGTAGGTGGCACAAGATACGTACCACACCATAGAAGACACCACACTCCTATAAGAAAATGTACAGAAAACCACCCATGCGATGTTTTAAAGCGCCGATATATCACAACAAGGTCACAGAAGATACAACACCCACAAAAGTGAGCCGCAAATACATATCCACGGAGCCCCGTAATTGATGACACCGGTCAAGTGGTAGGCCGTGATCACGCACAAAGCGCGCGCACCCTGTGCTAGAGCTATACGGCCACGGACAACACAGCGGAGAAATGAACGAAGCACACAACGCTGCTGAAAGTATCGCAGCTCAGACTGCAGAGAGTCAGACTCGAGCGGTGGCGCCACGCCCAATTACGTCATTTTTTTCTGTGGCTGTCGCCGCCCGTGCTGCTGAGGCCCGCACATGATAGAGTCGGTCGCCCCAGTGGTCTAGTGGGTAACCCTCGCCGCCCGCTAAGGGCCAGGTCATGGGTTCGAGTCCCGGCAAAGTGAGTTTTTTTCTCACTAAATAATAAATCCTGGTCTAGGTTGGAAGCGACGCGCTGCGAAGCTCGTTGTGAGTAAACTCGATCGACTTCATAAGTCGCGAGGGAAGGGATTGCTGTACCCTTCTCGTGATAAAAATATCTCAGGCAGCAACCGCAGGAGGGGGTCCAACCCCCCCCTCCTATGAGACCCCGGTTGGGTCGTCTAGCTAGTAGAAGTGGAGGATAGGGGCCAGAGGGGCAGACGACAAAATCCAATGATTGGAGGACAAAAAAAAAAAAAAATGTAACGTTCTACCTCATTATCGCGCCCCCTGTAGGTTGGGTCTTGTGGGTGCACTTCATCCCATGGGTGACATATCACACCCCATCTTTATCACACACCCTGTGGGGTGGATGCTTTTGAGTGCAATTCATCACGCGGTCACACAATATCACACCCCCTACAGAATGCCAACACAACCCGTGTGATAATTTTGGACATCCAAAAATGTTATCACACGGGTGTGAAATCTTATGTCACCTATGGACGGTAGTCGCACTACAATATCGTGGGCACCGACTCGAAAAAACTTTTACTGCTCATTGGATACACTTAGACAAACGTGTAGGCTGCAATGCGGTTCCTTCCGTATCTGCAAACCGTGAGTTCCTATCTCACCAGGTTTCCGGCCGCATCCCGCCCGCCAAACAGGTACACGTGCTCCGAGACATTTACCGCGGCTGCTCGGAAGCGTTCCGTGGGCATCTCTTGGTTCTCGATGAACTCATCCTGTTGGGGTGGGGTGGAGTGGGGTGGGGCAACACACAAGAGTATTGTAAAACAAGGGAAATACCACTAAATTATCATAGGACAACAAACAGGAGACCACTTCTGTCTACAGGAGTTCTAGTGTCACTTCTAAAAAAACATATATGAGACACACAAGACAGCTACCAAACTGTCTTGTTGAGCCTGTTACCCGCAGGGGAGATGTCCCTATATGCTGTCTGGGAAATCGTAGACATACAGGTACTTTCTGACGCTATGAGTCCATTGGTAATCTGTCTCAGACTCTTTTCTATGATAGAGATGGTTTCGTTGTGTCATATTAAGAAAAATAAAAAAAATAAAAAAGCGGGCAGGGGCGGGAAAGGGCCATGTTCCACCAATTGGATAGAAGTATGAAACATAACAAGTACTTCCGAACCTTGTCGAAAGTAGGCGCAACCTCACAGAAAGACTACCCGTTCGAGATATAACCTCAGTCGAAAGGGAGGTGCTCAAGTCTTTTCAGTGAGTTGAGGTAGACTTTACCCTCTGCCTGCGTTAAATCATCGCCGCGTGTTGTCGAGTCCCGGATATAGAAAGAAAGGCGCACTTCACGTGGTGATCTTTGCTGTTCGTTGCTGTCTCCTCTCCTGCCACTTCCTACAGCAGTAGTAGTTCCATCACCCCAAACCGAAACCGAATACGGAACGCGACCGCACTCAAGAAATACGAAATACTTGTCGGGCCCGAGGCCCTGTTTTTACATTCTCTGTATGCGGCAAACAACAACGTCGACTCTACTCTGTACTCTGTAGAAGTGGATTCTTGATCTGTTAGTTCTTCTGGTCTACAGTACACGCTTGATTTCTTTGTAGGCTCACTACGTCGAAATCGGGTCGAGGTTGTGCTGAAGTTTGTTACTCGTCGCCACCATCGAGCGCAGGTACATGTACTGCTGTAATACAGCAGTGCGGGTCTCGGTTTAGCGACCCCCTGTTAAGCGACCACAAATCACGTAGCACCGCCGAACTGCTAGACTATGTGTGTAACTGTTCTAGTTCGGTTTGGCGACCTGCCCTGAATAGCGGGCACATTTCGTCGTGACACTGCAGTAGGAGGTTGCTAAACCGGGGCCCGCACTAATGCTGCTGTACATGTTTGGGTTCAGATATTCAATATCTGCTACAGATGTAATGCTACACAAGTTCCGTGGAGGGTCCACGCAAAGCAAAAGGAAAGGCTTTCAAAGAATCTACCTTAGATACTTTTCCCGTATTATTGCCGAACACACATTCTGAGAATCTGGAATCTGAGAACAAGGCCAGATACAGATGTGAAGCAAAACAGACGCGAACGTTCCACAGAAGGTGACGGTGAAAAAACAGGAGAGCCCGCATAACGGTCCGCACACCTGCCCTGCTGCCATTGCTTGCTCATGAGAATATGATGTGGTTGCAAGCGGGGTAGTGTATCCGTCGCTCCCCCCCGTTCGAGGACAGCACAGCAGCAGCATGTTGTCCAGCCGTTTCCCCCCCCAACTCACTATCCTACGCTGTGAATACTTCAACCCATGTCTTCCGTTTTTTTTCTGATGGTTTCGAAGTATGTTCGCAATATCCTACACGTGTATTTTCAAAAAAATTACAACCGCACGCTGGGTTTTCTTGCGCATGACCGGCGCGTGTGGTGCACCGGCTTCACCTCTCCACCGTGTACGTAGCAGGATCGATCGGTAATACCATATGCGGCGGGCATGCTCTTTCTTCTCTTAGGTCCTCGCTCACCAGAAACGGATCGTAGGTGCGAGTGCTGCTCGAAATAGAGCTGCAGTCACCAGCCACTTCCTGGAATTCCGCGTCGCATCCACCCAAGACCAGAAGCTCAGCTGCGTGACGCGAACAGAGGCAGTGACGATAGATCCATCAAACACAACGCACGGGACAAAGGGTGTGGGGAACCGCGCACATGCTGCTGGTAGCGGGCGGGGGGGGGGGTAGTTCTTCCAGAGGATCGGCCTTTGTGGCTACTAACTGCTGCCGCTGCTGTTGCTGCTGCTGTTGCTATGCCACGTGTTTTTTTTTTTTTCTACACTTCAAATCAGCGCTCAAAGCACGAGTGCCGTTTACTCCAACCCGTGGTGACACAAAAGAGCCCCTCTCTATCCACCCCTCCTGCGGTACTTTGCCTTCGATTTTCAATGCGAGAAGAGTTCAGCACTCTCTTCCCTCTGGGTACACACGAACTAGCGCTATCCACTACCTAGGCCAGAAGCGGAAGCGAGAGAAAAACTCACTTTGCAAGGAAAGCTCGCATACGCCGGGATTCGAACCCCTGACCTAACCAGACGAAGGTTCCGAGGATACCAACAAGACCACCGGGGCGACTGGTGTGTAGCGGAGGCTCGGAACGCAACATGTGAAGACTGCTGTGCATTCATACACACAAATTACGTGATATTGGTATTTTTTTCTCGACAACAGCAGCAGCAGCAGCACAGGTGATCGACGGGTGAAACACGACACCGACGCGCCGCCAAGCTTGCACCAACAACGCTCAGTTCTCTGTCAGCGGCGTATCCAGAGCATGCGTGTAGTGCCCAAACTGTCAGCCAACGACAGCACCGCAGAGACAGTCATGAATTACGGATGCAACGCCACACGACGACATATCAATTTGCACTTGTGTTCAAGTGCTCCCCCTGGTGCAAGGTGCGCCAAGGAAAAAAGCGCTCAGCAACCAACCAAACTATACTGTTGTCGCTGCTGTGGCTCACTTTGATCGAGACCATCGACGACACTGCTGTCCATTGTCAGACAGAGGGAGTCGCTCGCTTGGACTGGGAGCTGCTCCGCGTCCTGAGACCACTCCCAGCTGTACCGATCCGTACAAAAAAAGAACTGACACAGCACAGCAAGCAGCGGACAAGAGGTTGCTGTGACAGTCCCTGATGATGGCTACAACAGGAGTGCGCGTTGTTGGTGTGGTCAATAGGCAGAGCCGCGACGCATTTTATGTGAGGTGCCAAGCACGCGCATCAGGAAGTTCACCATGCCGCGAGCCTCGAACCTGCTACACATGCAAGTCGGGTAACCAACACGCACCTCATCGATGTTGTCTTCGCTCGTAGCCGACACGCAGTTGTCTTGCACAGTCCCGACCGTACACGCGTCTTGTGCTGCCGCCAACAGAGCAGGAGTGATACAGCACACCGCCAGCACGGAGGAGGCCCTCTTGCTTAGCATCATGGACTGCTGGGCGACGACTGCAAAAACCACGCTGAGCACGCGAGGGGCTGACGGTCTACGATCTGTACAGCAGCAGCAGACGTTTTTGGCGAGTGAAGGTGTTGGCGAACGTGGCTGAGGCCGTTCTTGTTTTTTTTTTTTTGTATTTTTTTGGGAGATGAGCACGTGTTTTCAACCATCGCTGACGGCTGCACAAACCCATGTCTCTTCACATCTTCCCCCCCAAAACACAGCAAACACTAGTACATCTCCATGCACCCGGGATAAAAAAGCTGTATGTAGTGTAAGGCTACTGCTGTAGAAATTAAGGCTCGAGACAAGACATGGTGCTCGGTCCTCTGCATGCTGACTCACCAACACTACATTGTACAACCTACCGGTCGGTACCGCTGTTAATGCGTACCGCATTTATTAGTTACAGATAAAGAAACGAGCCTCTCCGCCAATCTCCGCCAAAATCATTGAAGACGAGGCGGCGGGGGGGGCGCTAACCTCTTTTCATAGAAGTGCTACGCATACATGCAAGGCGTTGTTGTAGTTCCCGCTTAATGACTATGTCGCGTTCCGCAATCCACAACGAACGAGAACATCGTCGTGTTCAACCAACGACAAGTGAAGTGTCGGGGAGGCGGGTGCTGTTGTTGTGCCTGCCGTGTGCATGCGTTGCATAATTCGAGCCCTCATCGCTTCCTCTCCAAAGTCATGTATCCTACATACGTCTGCACGGCACCGCTGCCGCTGCTACACATTATGTCATGTGTGTGCTCACACAGCAGCAGCAGCAGCAGCAATCTTCAATCGTCTAATTTTGGTGCTCGCAGAGAAGAAGACTAATTTTTCACTCCACGGAACACGGATCCATGCATGATTTTCATTCACATCATCAATCGGCGGACACCGATGTAGCACAGAGGAAAGAGGGCGAAGGGAGATGGTTTTGCTTCTGAAAGACACAAAACATACCATACTTCGTGTACATGTCTGATCAACCTCACTCTTGCACCCCCCAAAACAGGCAGAACAACGGGTGCGTATTCCGTCCGCCTAAGAACCAACCGCCGACACAGACCCTGTATTCACTGGCAAAAAGATTGGTACGTCGAGACACATGTGTGCGCTAAAGTCGAGCCTCCTGAGCAACATTCATGCTCGACATGATCGCTCAAGACCAACGCATGATCTCCTCCTCACCGCACGATTGACCCTCGCACTCGCACACCAATAGCGTCCTCTCGGCCCGAGTCTTGCCTATTTAGTGGCCGCAAGACGACCCTACAAAACAGCAGAGCAAACTTCACTCGTGAGCCAACAACGCCCGTCCTACTCACGGGTAACGGGTCCATCCTTCGCCTCTTTTTGTCACGAGTTGTAGCTCTCCGCGTACAGACCATGATGTACTAGTATGTGAAGTGCGAACTACAAGCAAATGTTCTACCCCCGCAATGTCAAACGTCCGGGCACATCAGCACTCTGTACAACGTTTATACCAACGAGAGGCAAAAAAACACAACATGTACAGACGAAGCTGGGCACACCGAAAAATTGTTTTTTTTTCTCTCACCAGGAGTAGTAATACTCCCTCACGAGCCTATAACCAACGCATAGACAAAGGGCCTCCGTCCACCACTCCGTGCGCATGCGTCAAACATGCGTCAGTCATACAGCAGGCCCGGAGTACGTCTGGTGGTGCGGCATCGTATTCCGGACAAAGCCGTCTCTCTTCTTGCCCCTGCGCCCCTTCTTGCCCCCCCCGGCTACCCTCGCCCCTACCGGTCCGAGCGACGCCGCGGTCTCCACGTCGGGGTTGCCGTACGGGTCTTTGTTGCCAACCTTGCGGTCTTTCTTGCCCCACCGCAGGAGTCCCATCTCCCTCTTGGTCAACTTCCCGCCCCTGCCACCCGCGCCGACCGTAAGACCTAGCTCGGCTTCGCGCGCTGCTACCGCCGCCCTCTTCTCCAGAACCTCTGCCATGAGGTCAATGTTTTCTGGCTGCTGGAGAGACGCTGCTTCGGCGGACGCGACGGCCGCGCCTCCCGCGCTCGCCTTTGCCTCGGCCTTGCTCAGCTGCAAGGCGAGCTTCGCGGCGAGCTTGGTGGTTTTGAGAGCCGTCTTGTCGGTCTCCTTGAGGAACCGGGTGATGGCCTGCGTTTTCTCACGCACAGAACGTCATGGCATACCGGAGCAACGCGAGCAACTACTTAGCAAGAAAGCAAGAACACAAAAAGGAAAAAAAGGGTCGGACTTTATATAATGGCGATGCTCCATTTTCCCATTCACTAGGCAGGGTGGGTATCCAGAATGGCGGCGCGCGCAAAGTTGGCATACGAAAGGCCAACACATAAAAATTTACATGTGTCCACGCACCAGACATTTGCACGCGAAAAAGTGCGCACGGCAGAACGGGTGGTGATAGGAGCCACGAACCGTCGTCGGCAGCAGCTATTATAGGCACAACCAAGACGGGAGTTGGCGCGGCAGGGCGAGTCCCTCATGCCCTTCAAAAGGGGCCACGCGCGCGCCGCAGTTTACACCACGCTCCGCTCGAGCATATGGCCGCGTGCGGCCACCAAGGCGCCTCAAAACAACCGCGGGTAAACATCATTCGAGAATATTTTTAAACACTTGGGGGTCAGCGCGCGCGGCGCACACACCGAGGTCACTCACCTCTGGCTCCAGGTCGGCAGGCGGATGGCAAAACAAGAGCCGTCCATCCGTGAAGTCCTTGAGGATCTGCCTCGCCGCGCGCGGCATGTCTGACTCCCCGAGGGCGCGCGCGCGGAACAGTCCTCTAGCCTGGCAGTACGACTCTAGGAGCTGCTGCGGCGAGAGCATGGCGTTTCCCGCGGTATCCTTGACGTCCCCCGGGAGGACCGGGAGCTTGATGGTGTAGGTGATCTCGAGGATGTGCCGAGGTATTCGTCGCGCGATGAGGGCCATGGGGGGCATGACGTTCCGCATCTGCATGATGGGCAATACTCCAGCACAAATCATTTCGGCCGTGCTGTTTCAGCGTTGCCGCCGATCGAGGAAACCAACGCAAGGGGAAAATAAAGGTGGGTCAACGGGGGCAGGGGGTCTCCATCATCAAATGAACACGGCGAGGGTGGTACGGTGCACGTCTACCGTAGGTGACACAAGAATACCACCCCCGCTGGACCCGTGTTCAAATCTCGATTACTCCACGACGAAGACGATGCATAAAAGAAACGATATGTTCTCGGAAAGCTCTCAACGAGAGAGCTTCAACGCCGCCATTTTCGGCGCTGCCACTCGTTCTGTTGTGGAGAAATCGAGCCGTGAAAAAACTTTCAGGGGGTGTGTTATCTTGTGTCACCTACGGTACTCGTATTTACCGGGCGATCAACCTGCCTGAGCTCACCTGCTAACGAAACTTGGAAACACGAGACCCGGACAATCGCACAGCATGAGGCTGTCGCTGAGCACCAGCGTCTGAAAGTGCTTCGTCTTGCCCGGGGTGGCGCCGACGCTGACCCGCACGCCGCCGTGCGACAGCGGCGTCGCCCCGACCATGACGTTGATCAGGCTGCTCTTCCCCACGTTGGGGAACCCGACCATTCCGACGCAGGCACGCCCGCCGTTTCGCGAAGGGTCCGGCGCCCCAAGAGTCCTCGCAAGCCGTTCGAGCTCGACGCACATTTCAAGTCTGCTCAGCACCCGCAGCGAATTGTCCCCCTTGCTTGCGCCGGCCCCGCTCCCTCGGCGCCCCGCCGAAGAAGTCGCGCCTTTCCCCCCGCCTGCATGGCCTTTTTTCGCTACCCCCGAAGCGGATGACGCATCCGATCGCCCAACTTCCTCCTCCTCTTCCCCATCCCCCTCTGTGTCTGCCTCAAAATCGTCATCAGTATCGTCATCGCCGTCCTCAGAGTCATAGGCATCCGGGGCAGGAGCACCGGCGCCCGGTCCGCCCTCAGCAATGTCCCTCTCTTCTCTGGCCTCCCGGTTGAGCTGCTCTTGCTGCTGTCGGGCGGAGAAGAACAGCACCGCGACCCCTCGCCCGTTGAAGTGCCGCGCCCACTCCCTCTGCTGCGCTCGGCTCAGGTAGTCGGCCTTGTTCACCACAACCACGGTGGGCTTCGGTGGCGCGATCTCCCTCGCGTAGGCCTCGAGATCGGTGGAGTAGTAGAAGAGCGGGTTGCGGGCATCGACCAGCTGGCAGACGAGGTCGCTCCGTTCGATGACGCGCCAAAGCTGTCGCCACACCTCCAAGTTCTTCTCGAATGGCGTGACCTTCATGTCACCGTTCTTCTCCTCGGCGCTGCAACGGAGCGTGGTTGTGGCATCGGGGGGCGGAGGAACGAAATCAATCACGTGTACACTTCATAGGTGGCACGCTACATACCACTCCCAAACACGCCGCGGTGGATTCGAATGTATCAATGTAACCCATTCTGTGTCTACCGCAGCAGGTAGCATGTTCACGGGCATCAGTGCACGCGCTGTATTCGGCAGCTAAATAGTGGAAGAGAGCAAAGAGAGAGCTGCATCCATCGTAGGGGCCCCGTCCATACAAACTTGGCGATCGCGACGTGATCCTGCTGTAGCGCCGACAGAGAGGCCGAACAAGGTGATTCCTAAGGCGAACAAGCGCAAAATGTGTTGACACCAAAAGTATCCACTGCGACCCCCCAACACAACAAAGACACAATGATGGGAAATTCTGCTAGACTGGACAGGAGATGCTTGCCGTATGTGCTCACTTGGCAATTCCTCTCCGCCACTCGAGAAAGGACTTCCTCTCCTGGTAGTCTAGATCCTCGGCGGTCATGCCCGCGGTCCAAGCCGGGCGTCTCGGGATGTTCATGTGCTCGAAGTCGAACTCGTCCGTGCCGGGGTCCTTCCCGCCCCCGGCGGCGGCGTCGATCTCGCCGTTCTCGTCCAGGCTCATCTCCAAGCCGTCGGGCCCGAGCACGACCGTGTTCTCCTTGTGGGACTCGAAGGCTCGCTCCGACATCATGGCGGAGGAGATGAAGTCGTCGAGGTTGCTGGCCTCCAGCACCGAGGTCATCTTGCCGCGAGCCTTGCTGCCGTCCACATCGTACGACGACGCGCTGTTCGCGCGTGGGTGGGCACACAGCACGTCCGGGCGTGGTAGACGTGGTCGGGGAAGAGATGGTGGCAAATGGACCGCCCCATGGGCAAAGAGATGTCTACTACTACTGCTGTACAGCAGTCTCGCCTTACATCGTGAGCCTCGCGTATAGAGCCGGTCCAAATGTCGAAAACTATGTGGAGTGGTGGGTTGCTTGCTCTGTGGGTGCCTAGATGCGCACCGAAACAATCGCCTATTCCTCAACCCAACCGAGACTGGACGAAAGCCGCCGGATGAGAGCAGCAACAGGCCGTTGACGCTTCTCCGTCTCAAGCGCATCGTGAAAGTCAGCAAGAATGGTCAGGACGACTGCTCCCCGGCTGCTGTGCAACGCCACTGCTGCTGCTGTTGCAATGATGTTGGCCTCTTCATGGTCAAATTCGACACACCTGGCAGCCGCAGCTTGCTCTTGCGCACGGCGTCGCTGGAGCGCTTTTCCAAGAGACTCTTGTCCACGCTTCGGGTTACTTTTCCCATGAGGCATGCTTGAGCCTGCCGTCCACGTTGAGCGGGGACGTTCTGGAGTGTGGCACCACCCACACGATGGGGGGGGGGCACCGTAGAGTACAAAATGCAACACGCCCCTCCCTTGCCAACGCCCTCGGTGTCGGCAAGTCGGGAACGACCCAACTCATTTTGCCCGCCCATCATCTACAGCACAGCAGTGTGCATAGCCAACAGGGTTTGGCAAGCGGGAAATGATGATGGACACAGCTCCGACGATCATGAATCCGAGCCTGGCTCATCCACCACCGGTGGCGAGTACTCCCGTGCAAGATGCAGTGAAGGCTTGTCAGGTGTGTGACTCGTGAAGTATTTCTCAAATCATGGCAGACCGTTCCTCTGTGCAGCACATACATACCGCTGCTGCGGGAACGCGGAAACAATGTACACAGCAGGGTGTTTGTGCACTAGACTTACAGAGAATCGTGTGCGTTCTGGTGTCTTCCTGAGCCTGTCCTCTCCTGGTTGCTGTCGTTGGCTCTCTAACGCAGTTCGGAGACGAGGATGCACTTCAAGAGCTCTTGGAACCAGCAACGGGCAGGGTGAGCCTAGCGGAGGTTATGATACCACGAGTATACAAGGCCTCCGCGTGGGCCCGGGGAATTCAGCGGTGATTTCCTTGCGCTCTCGCGGGTCGTTTGGTGTCGAGGTGGCAGGTCGTTTGGTGACACAGAGTTGTGATTCGACATCACCTATGATACTACTACTACTGTGCTTGGTTATGCTGTGTGCATAATTGTACACCATCGAGTTGATGCGGAGTAACATGCCACCCACCGCCGTTGTCATGTTGTTTTGCATGACTCTATTCCATTTACACTAGGGAGAGGTGCTGCGCCGTGTCCTTACGGCTGTTTCCTGTCGGCGTTGACTTGTCTCAGGCCCTGGTGGACGTTAACGACCGGGATGCCGAAGATGTGCCATTGCTTCACTGGGCCGCAATTAACGACCGGCGGGGGGTCGTGAAGTACCTCTTGAAGCGGGTACAGATGCACGGCGGTCAACGCATGGTTGTTTCGTTTCGAGCATGCATACCGCAGTAGTCTACCGAGCGTGTTTGGAGATAGCCGCATCAGCAGGATGAGATTTTGTGTTCTGTTTTTATTGGGTGTTTTGCTTGAGTTCACTCCAGCACGCAGTTGTGACCGTAGGGCGTAGGGATACATGCATAAGTGCAGCAAATCCAGTGCCGTAATACTTCTGTACTTTACATGGGTCGGCCGCCGCCCTGATGGGAGCCACCTGCGAGGAGGAGGTGAAGGCGTTGCGTTCCTAGGGGCCTTGCGTCATGGTCAGGAGCCGACCGAGCTCTCCGCCGATACCGTCTGGTGGCAGAAGCAGCTTTTGCAGCGTTCAGTCGCCACTCCACAGACTGGAGCCAGAGCGACAGGAGCAAGCGATACCTTCGGTTTCAGTTCAGATTTATCACAGCGGATGTGCTTGCTCCAGTCGTGCTGGCTCCAGTCTGGGAAGGAGTGGCTGAACGCTGTAAAAGCTGTTTCTGCCACTAGACGGTATCGGCGGAGACCTCGGTCGGCTCCCGACCATGACGCAAGGTCAGTAGGAACTGCCTTCGCCTCCTCCTTGCAGGTGGCTCGATTAAGACGACGTCGGCGACATATCCTGCTTGCTGCTGTGGGGATGAGAGTCGAGAAACTGATGACGCATCATACCTTGGTTTCATTTGGTGCGCTCGACTCAACTCTTGCACGTTCGATATTTTCGCGCGCACTTTGCCTGCCACCAGGGCGCAGACACGTGCGCTATCGGGGGAGTGCTGAAAGAGTCGGCCTTGATGTGGGCGGCCAGGCAGGGATACATGACCATCATTGTTGACCTCTTGCAAGTGAGTGGCCCCAGGCAACGAGTCGACGTCGACAAGCGCTTGCTGCAACATAAATACCCTACCACGACTTCCAATCTCTCCATGTACCTATGCGGCCATTTTCGTCAGCCTACAGTGTCGTTACAGCGGGCGCATTCGCCTGACACCGACCCCCCCCGAAGCCTAAGCTTTCCCCGGGTGCATACGCTCTCTCCGTGTTCCAAATGGTAACGCAATAGGCCGGGGCGGACTGCCTTCAACGCAATACCTACGGGCAGACGGCGTTACACCTGGCTGCGCAGCGGGGGCACGTGAACACCGTTCTCGTGGTGCTGGCAGCAGGGACCCCTGTATCCTCCAAAGATTCCAAGGTATGGTGTGTGATGTCCTGCAGTGCGGAGCGGTTGGTGGTGGTGGTGCTCACGCACTTGCGATGAGTCATCGCGTGCTACATACTGCGAGAACCAGGCGCATTTTGCCGACCAGAAGCACGAACTCCTTGTGCCGGTGTCGGCGAAACCGAAAACCCTCCCCATGCCGTCATCTGGGTCCCAAACCACTTTCTTTTGCCAACTCTTCTAATTTTTATTCACGTCGCCCGACACGCTTCTTTGCTTCGCTACGATCACCTCGCCGGCCATGGTCACGGTCACGGGGCATCTGCTTCCAGGGGTTCACGCCGCTCATGTACGCGACCAAGCTCCGCATCAGCAACGTCGACCTCATCCGAGTCCTGCTGAACTACGGTCCCTCTCCGGGGGTGGAAGAGAAAGACCTCGAGGAAGGGAACACCCCCCTACACTGGGCCATCGTGGGCGGCGTCCAATCGCCATACGCCTTGTCCCCGATCCTTAAGGTGAAATCTCGGCCTTGCCTCTGGCCCTTTGCCCCAGCAAGGCCGAATGGCACGGCGGTTGTATCTTATCAACAACTTGTGATGAGTCCATGTACACATTGGAGTTTCGTGATGATTCTTCCCTTTCGAGGCGTTGCTTCGGGAGGTGTGCAGTTGATCGATGGATTCCATCGGCCGAATCTCTGGCTGGGTTGTGTGTGCGAGGCGCTTGGCGGGTTTGCGCAGCTCGGCATGGCCGTATCGCCGCGGTGGGGTGACGACTCTAGCTCTGGCCAAAAATAGAGGGGCGAGCGATCTTCCACTTGTGCACCTGTACATGGGAAACAAGACGGGCGGTGGGACTGGTTGCGGTTGGTGCCGCCCCGTGGTGAAGAGAGTGCGCTTTGGCCGATGGACACCAGACAAGGCTCTGTGGGACAGTTGTTTTGCCAGCTCCGGTGGCTCGAGTGATTTTGCTCCGCAAGTGTGGGGGTGGTTAACACGATTTTCACGCTAGGCAAGTGAAACGGCTGCCCTGAGACTTGTCTCGCTGTTGTGCTCAATCGTTCTCTGTTCTCACCACTAGCTTGTACTGCTCTTTTCTTGCACTTCTGTCTTCACTTCACAAACGAAGGCGGGAGCGAGCCTGGACGCGGCGAACAAAGCAGGCTTTACCCCAGAGGAGCTGGCGTTGTCACTGGGAAACCAAGGGCTGGGAGGTTACCTCAAAACGTGCCGAAATATCCCGATCAGAGCAAGGGATGTCCCTCTGAAGCGGGTGAGGTCTCCTGTGTTGCTAGTGACTTGCAGGTCATTTTGGGGACATCCCGAGTACGTCGCAATAGCGTTGTTTGTACCTTGAGCCAATTGCAGGGATTCGCTGCTGCTGGTCAATGAGGCGGAGGAGTCTCTCTACCTCTTTCGGGCTGAGGAAATTTGGTGTCCCATGAAGCCATGCACCTATTGCTCGTTTCAGAACCCGCTCGCGGTCTAGGTGCCTGCGGTACGAGGTGGAATGCCAAGCACTACGGAGTAAGGCGTAGCTGGTTCCCTTGAAGGCGAGGATAAGCAACGCTTGGCAGTGGCATAGAAGCAACGCTTCGTCAAGTGCCGAACGGAAAAGCCGAATCGCACCACGGCTTTCAGTGTTGTACACCTTCAGGATTTGCCATAGGATACATAGGTGCGACCCTAAAGCCGCTGGTAGATCGCTTCCCTCCGTTGCCCATGCTTTACATCGTTTTTTTGCTTTTTTAACTCCAACACGAAGCGACGCGATATCTCACGGTTCCAAATTGCGTCCCATGACACCATCCGAATCGGAAACGGTTCCTGTTTACCATACCGTAACTTCTGGCGAACTGATGGAGCGAAAAGTCGATCAACGAGAGCATGCTGCGTCCAGGGAGACAGACATACTTTGGCATGACACCTAAATGCCATATCCTCCTTTTTACCCGCGTTTCCTCGTGATGCCGGTTGCGGAGCAGGGCCTGTTTTTGCCCCTGATTCAGCTGCTTTGGTGCTTCGGGTTCGTGAACACGTTCGGCTGTTGGGGGTGCTTAGGGGGGGCTGCGGGGATCGGGGCAACGAGCTCTCTGACGTACAAGATCGTGCAGTTCGACGCGAACTGGGTGCCACTGGGGGTGGCGCTGTGGTCCCTGGTGCTTATCGTCGCCTCGGAAGCGGCGTTTCTTTGGGAGGAGCAGGCGGCACTGCGATCGATGGCGACGCTGCTGCCAGCTCTTGTGACGCTGTGCTTCCTGTACAAGTCGGTGAGCTGTCGGGAGGGGGGAGAAGAAATTTCCGTTTTTTCGAAAGGAGAGGGTTCTATGTTCCAATTCCAAACGTATGCTAGGACGATGTGTTTGCTTTGAGCAGAACATGGAATAAATGTGCTGGGTATGACTCACTGCGTTGATTAGCCGGTGGCTTTGCGTGATGATTCTTGCCGAACCGGAGGAAACGGGATGGATAAAATGCATCCTTTGAGCCCTCGGTGCGCTTGTGTTGCCAAGCATATTGTAGGGCGTGTCCGCAGCAATCAGTGCTATCGCCGTCATCCCCCCCACACACACACACTATCCTCACGGCCAGCACAAGAGAATGGACTACCAACAGAGACCGAACAATCGTCCGAAACACGACCGCTACTGTACACAGATGGCAACAAAACCAGGTTACCTTGCAATGGACCCATCGGCGAGAGAGATGGCGATAAACAGGTTGGCGGAAGAAGGCCGCTTGAACAGCGAGACGCTGTGCACGACGTGCATTGTGGAGAAGGTGGGTGCTCTGCCTCTGTCGGGCACGACGAATGGGTGGGTGCACGCAACACACGCTCCCCCCCCGAGATATGCATGTGTGTTGAACAGACTCACCACTAGTGCTAGGGGAACATGAGCAACAAGGCAGTAGCCTCTGGTGCTAGGGTTGTTGCTAGGGATACATGAGCAAGAAGGCAGTTGCCTATTGCAATATATTTCGAGCGTGTAGCTCATCCCAACACTTGTTTTCTCACGAAATGATAGGAAACGCTCGTTACGAAATACGAAGTACCTACTTAAGAGTCAATCGCCCGTGCTTCTCCTCCACCCCGAAGTCTGGGTCTGTTGATCTAGCACGGCGTCCTCGTCACAACGGCAAAATATTGCTTCCCTACCACCCCCCCCACCCCCCCCCTTGACCTGATCCCCGCCTCCGGCGACATGCAGACTCCTCGCTCCAAGCATTGCGATACCTGTGGAAGGTGCATCTTGCGGTTCGACCATCACTGCCCGTTCGTGGCAAACTGCGTGGGGCAGAACAACCACCGATTCTTCGTTGGTTTTCTCTTTTTCGCTGTTGTGGTAAGAGCATGAAGATGTATGGCCCTTGTTCGGCCTTTTGTTCGGCGTTTACTGGTGTGTTTTATGTTGTGGTGTGATGGGTATTGCTTCGAGTGATAGTTTCAGGTTTCACAGCCATGAAGCGCTGTTGAAGGTTCATCGTGTGTCTACTTCGTGACTATACACCTTCTCTTGAGAGTCAGTCGGCAAAGGCTGCGAATGCGTATGGACAACACGCCTAGGTGGCCTGCGAACGTCACGAGTTGGCGTCATGGAATAAGTGGAGTAAGTGCCAACGCTGCTTTGTGTCGAAGGCCCCTACCCGGCTCGTTAAGTAGCCACCCGTACGATTTCAATCGCCGTGATGGGCACAGGCGTCAGGTAGTGTGCACGCTCCATCGGGGATGACCGCGCTCGTTGATTCTGGTGTGGCCGCTTCATTCGAAGGAAGGTGGTGCCGGTCCCTGCCTAGTGTAGTAGCATCACCACCTCTTAGGAAGGCCCTTGCTGTTCACGTACCACGTCTAACCGATGCCTCGTCCACGCCACGCTGTCAGGGGATATCTTCTTTCCTGTGGAATCTGTACAGCTACGGGCAAGCAGAGTGCGGGGAGTGGGCCATGTGGCGGTGCGTCTTCGGTCACTCGAAGTTCCTTGGCTGCACGGCCATCTTAGCGGTGAGCCTGCAGTACCCGTCGCGAACATTCGCAACCTTTTCCCGCGTTGCAGATACCGCTTCTTTGACTCCGCGAGCAGACTGTGCGGAGCGGCATCAGGAACTAAACTTCGCCAAGCTGTTGACTGTATCCTCGCGACGCGTTCATGGCCCACCGCTCTCGTCCGTGCCCCAAATTATCCGTCCATGTTGTAATGTTTATAGACTAATCATGTGGTGCGTTTTCACCTTGCGGATGTACGTGTACCGTCAGGCTTATCACGACGTTTGGATAGGGCTCCTCCTGCTCACGCACCTTCGAATGGTACTGATCAACATGACGACCTACGAATCGATTAAGGGGAGGCGATGGGTGGACAACACCACCCATGGCAAGCCGTTTTACGTGCGCTACCCCACGAACTGCTTCCGATTCTTCTTCCGCCCTGGGCGCGAGTCCGGCAGGATGGCCGGCGCCTACGGCCGTGTGCCGACCCAGGTATGATGCCATTTTCGAGTCAAAACCTTTCCGCTATATTTTTAGATAATACTTCATACAATCAATCACAGAAAGACACAACGTCCGGAGCATGAGCACAAGAGCAAAAAACAAGGGCAGGGTCAAGCACCGGAGAGGGGACAGGCTGAAACACGACAATGACGACCGACCCACCAGCGACGGTTGACTCTCCAATCTTCTTCTTCTTCCTCTTCTGGTGGTCTGCAGTCTTCAATATTCTTTAACCCACCAGCGACAATCTTC